TGACACATCGGCACGACCAAGGCTGTCCCATTTCGAAGGCTCCTTTAAATGTTAGAAACGCAGACGTCTTTCCCAGAATTTGGAGGATGCAACTGATGAATCCTTCATGGCCCAGCCACGTGCATTGCACATCGGTGACAATTATATATCAAGTTAAGGTTGTTGACTAGCTAACGGTTAACCGTTGTTAACATTACTATTAGCTAAAAGCACACAACTTGAGCAATCTTAATTGAATAAGTTTACCTGAAAACGGTCCTCCATCAGCCTGAAATATATCATCTGTGAATCATCTCCTCAAGTATTAAATCAAAATCTATATCTATAATAACAATCTCTGGGTCCATGATTTAGGGCTAACTAACTCACTCACTAGCTTACTCCTTCTTTCGTCAAGTGCAGCTCGTTGCTAGGAAACAGTAACTCCAACAGGTTGGGGCAAGAACAACTGGCGATGCAACCAGAAAATCCTCGGTAGACCAGATTGCCCCATTTTGGAGACTCGGTTCGGTTTGGCTGATGCCTTCTTCAAAGGATGTGGCCGACATCTACCACAAGGGCCGCGTCCTTCAAAGGCTGCAGCCCTTGAATTGAGACACAGCTTATAGATTTGCTCTATCGTATAGAGCTCCTTTAACTATGCTGAACTGATCTACTGTAAAAGGTTAAAGAAATGAACAACTGAAGTGAATCCCTTGCCTAAGTATGAGCAAAGATGAAAAAATGCTGGGAGCTGCTGGGTAAAAAATACTGCAGATTTGAATCCAGTTACCGCAGATTTGGTATCACTAAGCGGTCTCACACAATGACTGCTGCGGAGGGCCTGTGATAGGCAGGTATAAAAATACAAAATGCTGAAGCTGCCTAGCACCGAGCTGAGATGTTTTTTCTTCCTCTCTTTCTTGTTTCAATCTCTTGTCTTTTTCAGCGTTTGGCTGAGTCAGACCTCCCACATAAAAGTGGCTTATTGTCAAAGTAAGGGGGGGAGTTATAGGGTGGATAAGAGGGAGGTAGAAGTAAAGATATAAATGGCAAAGGGATTTAGTCAGTATCAGCTCTCTGAAAGCAGCTTGTATCCGTTTCCTCCTTGTTGAAATGACTTCTTAGGCAGTGACCTTGCTCCTTCCTGCTCCCTTCTGGGGTCTTGATCTTTGAAAACTAAAAGTTCTGAAGTTGGGGTCAAAGGGCTGATCAACAGCTCGTTGGCATGTACCTGACCAGCCAATCACCCAAAATACAGTCCTTCTTTTTCCCTTACAATGAAGGAGAAAACAATGCAAATATAATCAGAGCGATGCTATTTTGGTGCTGTTAGATCTGAGTCATGAGTTAACAGGCAACAGCTTCTATCCCAGTGGGCATTTGATACATTTCATTTCGAGTAACAGCTCATATCAAATTTGATAAGCATGGCGCATTGCCGCCTGAAATGGAGTGCATAATCCTGTAAACAGGACACAGACAGAGAATCCTGGTTTTATCAGCATGCCGTGTCCTTTACCAAGGCGCTTCCTGGGCCTAAAAATACTTCACTTTCCACTTGTAATCAAACTCACACCACATATTGCTTATTACACTTGAGTGCTTATTAGTCTAATACATTTGGCTTTTACATACTTGTGTGGGTGTCAGCATTAACTGTGTATGAGCATGTGGGTGTATTAATGATATCTTACTTGCAGTATTACAGTAAGTCTGCATGTGGTTGACAGACACGCTGAATGTGTATTGGACTGGCTTACTCGTGTTTTAATAGCAGAATGAACCACACAATTCTTGCCTGCCCGACATGCCCGATTCAACAAAAAAGGGTCATAATCAGACACTGATGAAATCTAAATCAAAACAGAAGTTCTTATGAATCCTGCCAAGAATGGATACCCTGCAGCAATGTAAGTAATAGGCCTACATTAAGAATTCAGGTCTGCTCCCTTAGTTATTTGCCCTACAATGACTCCAATATGTCTGAAAAGATTGACAGTTGTAGTATTCTCACTTTATAATATGAGTTAGATACGGAGCGCAGCATTTTGCTCAAGGGCGTATAAACTACAAACACTACTGCATCTGTGACACTTATGGGTCACTGAGGCCAGGTGTCTTCCAGTGTTATCACTTCAAGGACTTCATCCAGCTGCCTTAGACAAAATAACATGATTTTGGCAGTTTTTTTTGTTCTTGCAAACATCCATGTTAAGTAGTTATCCTTCAAATCCATTTTAATGTAATTCATCATTGTTTGGCCTATGAAAACTATGTGAGTGGTTTAGTACAGTCTAGGCTAAAATATTGTGTGACAGGCAGGGCTGAATTAACACAACATGGGCCCCTGTAGCAAATATAAGCTGTTAGGCCCCTGTTGACCCTGATAACGGTGCTCTGTGTATGTACATGTTGTCTCTAAATACCTCTTAAGTGCACAGTGCTGACTACAATATTTCATCGAGAGACCCATTAAACTAGGGCCTCTGGGTGGCTGGGGCATAGGGCAGGTACTCACTTGGTAAACCATTAGTCTTAGTGATAGGTATAAACATTAGATATAGGCCTGTATGTCTTAGTTTAGTGCATGGATGTCCCTGGTGCTTATTTATTGTATTTTTTAGAACATGTGCTTGTGCTTTAACTGGGCTGTACAAATTAAAATACCTGGGAGGACACTGTGAATTGAGCTGCTGATTTTGCTCTGATATACTCCAAAACTGCTACAATGGAGTATGATATATTTTGCACTATAGAGTGCCGCAAGGATGAGGTTTTTTTTTAGGCTGATGTGGAAGTCACCTTTGTTCCCTTTACAAAAAGCCAATGAGATTTTTCCATTGTCCAACTCCTTGTTTCTTCGAACAATAGGGCTCTCATTTTATTGTAGAGGGTCAGATTGGATTTACAAATGCACGCAAAATATATGTGCTGCAAGTAAGACGTTTTGTTTGTAGGCTAGTGTGGAACTTAGCGTCGCTCTGGTTCCCTCGGCAAAAAGCCCTTTGGATTTTTGTAAAAAAATAAGCTCTGTGGCAAACAAGTTCATGATACTTACACCTGTACTTACACCAGCAAGATAATTTTCACAAATTAGCACCATTTTTTAAGATTTCTGAGGCATAAATGCAATCGCCAGAAGCAAAAAGCTAATGTTAGGCTAAAAACCTACTACACAAGTGTCACATGACTTAACATCACCACCACAACAAGGCTGTAAAGCTGAGTTCTGCATGATGATGTTTGTAGTCTCATTTAGGCACCTATTAGCAGTCGTCTTTTTTAAAGACACCTAAAGGCTTCAAAATTCATGAGTGGGGTATTTACCGACATATTTTATGTCATAGAAAAAAACGTGAAAAGCCTGTGTAAACCACAGACCTTATTTCAGGCAGTTCGCCAAAAACCTATTCAAAAAATCCACTGACATTGAAATGAGTGCAAAAATGAAGGTGAAGAAAATACAAAAGTGATACTAATAAAATAAGCATATTCATATGCCTACACCAACAGATACAGTTACTCTCATATACACAATTAGTCTATCAACTGTCACTAAAGGCCACTCTGTAAAAGTAAGTTTTCAGTTGAGATTCAAAGACGTGAACATAGTCAGTTGATCTGATACTCAGTGGGCGGCTGTTCCAAAGTGGAGGAGTGAGAACTGAAAAGGCTCGATCACCTTTTGTCTTTAATTTGAACTCTGGAGCAGTTGGAAGACCCAGACTAGCAGACCTGAGGGGCCTAGTTTGATAGGAGAAGCTCATCTTGAACTACTTTACACTGGCAGAATTTAGCACGATGACCAGCCTAATTACGTTTTTGTTTTGTTACTGTATTACCTAAATGTGTGAATAAATGCAAGAAATGAAATTCAAATAGCACTTTTTTTCTGAGGCAGGACTAGGGGTGGGCCATAATATCTTGTTCACGATAATACCGGCATGTTTTTTAATATCATAAGAAAAATTCATATTGTGATATTTAATATTTGCACTTGTTGACAAATTGACGTCATACTGTTACCCATGGCAACAACAAACATAGCTGAAAGCGCAATAATTAGCGACTCTGCAGTGGTTCCAAAAGAGAAGCAGCCTCAGTAATGTGGAATAAACTGACGTTCTGAATGTTTTATGAACAGCCCCAGACTTCTCAGACTCTTGTAGCGGGTGATTTTGTCGTAAACCTTTGGTGATGTAAACCTACGTGATGCTCACGGCTCAACCAAAAACTACATAGGCCTATATGTGGATGTGCTACAGTTATGGTATCATAACACAGGTTACAGCATGATGATTAGAGGAGAAATGGCAGAGCATAAAGGTCCAGGTGAAATTTGGGAGCTGTTTAAATGTTTAATTTGTTGTAGATTTTATTTTGTTGAACTATTATTGAGTTACTGTTGTTGCTCACAAACAAAATATGGGATATCATTTTTGATTATTTTTTACTGAATATTTGAAGGTGAACTGGTAAACTTGTAAAACTATATCACTTATTTAGTTGCAATACTGTTTTCTTAATAATAAAATATACATTTTTTTTTTACTAATTTGTCATATCGCCAAGAATAGCGTTATCGCAAAAATACCCTGAATTACTGTGATATTATTTTAGGGCCATATCGCCGACCCCTTGGCAGGACCCCCAGACCCTGTTGGATTGTGCCCCCCCATCTCAAACCAAGTTACGCCCCTGCCTGAGATACATGAGGTAGAGATGCTGAAATGGTTTTAGCCCATCAGTAAGTAATAGTAATTGATCACCCAGCCTGTTTATCAGTTTATTTCCTCTCTGAATGTTTTCAGTGCACTTGAAATAACTCAGCTGAGTGTCAGTATTTTATCATCCGAGCCTGGAGCTGGGAGCTGGGAGCTGGGAGCCAGGCCTAACATGTCAGGCCTAAGTGTCAGGGCAACCAGCAAGCGGCGCTTCAGCCCCAGCTCAACTCTGTGTGAGCCGCTACCGCTGAACATGTCCAGAGAGGATCGAGTTACACTACGCCCCATCTTTAAGCCCCAGTCAGTGCGCTGTTAGCCGCAGGACAACAGAGGATAGGATAGGATACTGGCCGCCGGGGAACTGTCGGCTCCACACTCATGTAAGTGATCATTTTCCGACCAGTTTCCATCGAGGGAATGTTACTTTGGGGATATAACAACTTGAGCTTTTGCAAGAGTCGCCTTTGTTAGCTACACTGTCGCTAATGAAAGGAAAATACTCTGAGACGCCTGTTGTTGCTGTGGGTCACTAAGCAACAAAAGACGGTGTTAAAGCTGCTTTTAGTGTCTCGTTTCAATCATAAAGTATTTCCTGTGCACTATTTGTAGCCACCGTGGGTATTTTGTGACGTAAACCTGCCATACTGTGTAACTTCTTCACCGTGTCCCTGTCGGAAGCCTGTTGCTTTCTGGCTCCATGGATGAGATGGGAAAGAAGGAGGAGGAGGAGTTGAGAAAAGCGGATTGTCCCAAGTGCCTGGGCGACTTTATTCAAAATACGAGCAAACCTGACAGGATTTACCAACAATACCTTTACTTCTATTGTAGTAAACGCTTTATTACGACCAGCAAGTGTTGAACTGGGACGTACCCGACCGACGCTGCCCATTATTTTGGAGAAGAACCGCGCGACACAATGACAACCCGTTATTATTAGCTATTTGTGGACACCGCAAAGCTCACACATGACTTCACCAACGATTATTCTCGGAGGCAAATGTCCTCCCGAAGCTCCCGTGTGTTTTGGGTTGAAGTCCACTGTGTAACAGTAGTTATTAAGTTCCTTCGGCCTTCTGTGAATCATTACAAGCCACTGCAACCTTAAGAGTCAATCACTGCTGCTCATGCTTAAGAATCCCAACCACGTACCTTCAATGCATTTGAACGGACACATATGTCCCTGAAGGCAACACCTATAGCTAATATTTATACAGCTATAGTCATATTATTGTAATAGCTCATGAAAAAATGGTGTACACCCACTACTGGACAGCTTATAGAGACAAAATTACTGCTATAGCCCCAGGACCATATTGGAATACTATATTAATGTGTATTTATTAAACCTGAAGTGCATATATTTCTATTTTACTGGATACCAGTAGTCATTTGAATCATCATTTGGATTGTCATTTCAGTAGCAGTAATAGAGAAGTAACGATAACCAGATACATGTAACACTAATATTGTTTCCCGCAACAATTTATTGTATCTGTACATATATATTATTACAGAAAATTCAGCTGCTATCAAAAGTTAAGTCAGGGTGTCTGCAGTCTTAAAATGTCTTAAATTAGTTTTCTTAAAAACTTTGAATTGTCTTAAATTCAGATTCGACAGGTCTTAAATATTTTTGTCACATTACCTTGAAATTTTCTCTTACAAAGTCTTAAATTGTCTTAAATTCAGATTCGATAGGTCTTAAATATTTTTGGTCACATTAGCGTGAAATTTTCTCTTAGAAAGTCTTAAATTGTCTTAAATTCAGATTCGATAGGTCTTAAATATTTTTGGTCACATTAGCGTGAAATTTTCTCTTAGAAAGTCTTAAATTGTCTTAAATTCAGATTCGATAGGTCTTAAATATTTTTGGTCACATTAGCGTGAAATTTTCTCTTAGAAAGTCTTAAATTGTCTTAAATTCAGATTCGATAGGTCTTTAATATTTTTTGTCACATTACCGTGAAATTTTCTCCAGCCTGACAGACCCACTGACACTTTAAAATCATTGGATAGACCAAAGAATTGCAAAAATAAATAGCATTTATGACAGCAATGTGATATTGTTTTCTTTTTACATTAAACACATTAAATGTAAACTCACCCAATTGTTGTTATTTTTCCATACTATTCATTTTGAACTGACATCAGAGTGTTTACTTGGAAAGAGTACTCACATGTGTACAGGTTTGGTCTTTTCTCAATACTACCTTAATTTCATATAAGGTCTTTAACGTAACCTGTAATGTAACCTGTAAGTTAAATTTTACACCAGTACAACAAAACAAACCCAGCTATTTACAGGTCTGAGATAAATAAAACACACAGTGGGCCACATACTGTATTTAGAAAGCTCATTAGTCAGTTCGAAAGTTATAAAGTGGTGGATGAAGCAAATGAAATGAACATAAACAAACCGGTGCTGCTGTGATCCTGTTTTCACATGTACTGAGCTATTCTAAGAGCCTATACAGGGCTTTTAATTGTCTTACCAATCTCCTTTAATCGTGTAATGTCGCTCTCCCTGAGTCATGCTCGTAACATAGCCACTTCTAAAGTCAAGTGTGATGTTCCTAAGATGGGAGTTGACAGCCATGACACCACTGATAACCGCATTAGTCAAATACAAAACACATAACTACCTATTATCATTAGGTGATGTGTCAAGGCTTTCACAGGCTATATTTACAAAGTCTGATTCAAGCCTGTGATAAATACATGCAGCACATGTCAGTTAATGGCAACATGTCAATGTATAGTCTGTCAAACATTGTAAATCAGATGTATACAGAGCTATGGTGGGTCATCAAAGAAGAGATATCTATATTTTCAAATTTACAACTGGTGACTGAAATGTTGACGTGGAGCTGCAACAATTAATTGATAAGTCAGCTGTTAAAAAGCAGTCAGCAATTACTTGATAATGATTTAATTGTTTTAGTTATTTTCTAGCAAGAATGCCAAATAGTTTGATGGATTCAGCTTCTCAAATGTGAGGATTTGCTGTTTTTCTTTGTCATACTTGATAGTAAACTGAATATATTTGCGTTTTAGACTGCTGGTTGAATAAAACAAGCTATTGCAATAGATCATCTTGGGCTGTGGGAACTTCTAATGGGCATTTTCACCATTTTCTGACATTTTGTAGACACAACAATAAGTCGATTAAATGAGAAAAATAATCAGCAGGTAATCATATGATAAAAAGTAATACATGCAGCCCTATTAAGATGCAAGCAGGGTGTTGCACTAGTTTTAAAATAACTGATAAGACTGTTCGCCTGAATATGATTATTAATCACCAGAGTGTTGTTTCAGGAAGAAGTATGGTTATATTTATCTGATAGGAGTAAAATGGATAATCATATTCAATGCCGGCTGCAGACGTGCGGTGCATATTACAAAACTTCTGCAAAATTGCACTGAATGAAGTCCCAGGAATGTAAATTACAAAATGTTAATCCATCAATAAGAGCATTAGTTAAATATAAGGGAACTAACAACCTACAGTCGATGTGTGCTCAAACAGACGCACTGCACCATCGCGCTGGGGACTCAGTAAATAGCCCACAGTTCTTCAGCACAATGGTTACTCTGTGATGTTATGGTGAAGCATTCTTAAGAGATAAATATGGCCCTGACGGAACGGAAATAAATCCATTTTCCCTTTCATGTTGACCTTTCGAATAGAGAGGTTTTAAGAAGTTGGGTGCAGAGGAGAATGAGCCGTTCCAGCTCTTACTTCCTGTTTGTATCAAGTGTGTTGTGGAAGTTCAAAAAAGACGAGTGAATTTGTGCCCTGATATTCAGTTCTCTGACTGTTAAGGAAAAGACGTAACACATTATGTTGTTCTTTGCAGGCCTTGGAAAAGGGGAAGAGTTTGAAATTGCTGTTAATGGGGAGAAATCACATTTACCTGGAGTTCTAAAAATGATAGAAACAATGGGTAAGTAATGTTTTTTATTGTTTAATAAACAAAAGACTGAGTCAGTGTGTTATTTAGTATGATTGAAAATATATGATAAATAAATGATGGTAGTGAAGAAAGCAGTTTATGACTGTGTATCCTGTTTTTATCAAATGTTCTTCTCTTCTTCCTCTATCTCTGATTAAACAGGCTGCGCTTTAGTGTCGCCAATACTCAGTTTAATTAAGATTCAATACCATCATAATAAACAAGACAAAACATGAAATATTGCCTTCGCACGCTCACAGTGTTATTTTTAATCTCCATATCTAAAATGAGCATTTTTTGCAGAGGGGTTCGGTCTAGTCAGTTGGGTGTCCGTCTTTGCTGGCTCTGCATCCGTATTTGGCTCCTACTGGGAGTTTCTCTCAACCAATGTAAGAGGCACTGGATTCAATTCAAGGCTTGTGGACTGCCAATGTTGCCATATCTGATAATGTTGCCATATACTTGATTGTTTGTTTGTCCCCATAGAGATTTATTTGTCCAACTGTCACACATGGAGCCAAATTGGTGCTGCCAGCTTCTTTCTTTAAAGCCGCAATCTGTGGTCACTCTCAAGACTGGCGTGTTGACCGTGTACTTATGAGCTACCAACTGTAATGTGCAGGTTGGGGAAATGGTGTATTACACGCCAGTTTTTGGTCGTGCTAGAATTGCGGATTAAATAATTTCAATTTTACCTCATACTTAAAGAAACTGTATTTGGAAGTAAGGAATTCAATTTAAAATGTGATATATTTTTAGTGAATCAAACTCAGACTGCAATTTCGACAATTTTAATAGTGTCATCCTTATGCTCTGCTCCAGGACCAGCCTGTCTGGAATACACTCTAATGCAAAAAGAGTACCACACACATGCATGCCACATTTTGGTAGGACTCCTCATTATGCTCACTGAGGCAGGGGCAATGAAAATGATAGGTACCTGCATAGGACCAGTGGCAAACCAAAAAAAAGAAAAAAGAAAAACCTGCTGAGGCCTCAGTGTTATTTGCTTGTTTACAACCTTTGCTCAAACAACAAAGCTTCTAAGTGCAAAAAGTGCTTTGGACCTTGTGCACGCCCTATTAGGTGTTAGTCACAGTTGGTGAGCTTTGGAAATTGCTTCATTTTTGTCCAGATGACGTTGGGCTGGCCCATCCTCACTAACAAGCCACTCTGGAGTTGCTCGATTGTGGGGCTTATGCAGGGTCCAGCAAGCAAACTGTGGAGGGTCTGCTTCTTTTATCTATTCCTCCTGATACCCATTCAATGCTCCTGTGCAACCCACCATTGACCCTAAAGGCAAAAAAGGAAACATTGCTATTCTGAAGACAAACAGTGCAAGTTTTTTTTTTTCCCCCTGTGGTGCAAAACCCAATGCTACGTGATTTCAATATAGTAAGGTCTGTCGAGCACCAGCCGTACCTAAGCCTACAGGTTGAGATGTGTGGCTCTCTCCATCCCTCCTCTATGCTTATTTACATATAATTGTAAACAAAGAAATAAGTGAAATAAGGTACGGAATACTATATATATATTTGGAAAAGTATGTGGTATAAAGCAAAACTAAATAAGGATATTTAAATGAAAAAATGAGGCCATGTCCAAACACCCTTCCCCGTCTCGCTATCTCTGCCCATGCACTGATAAAGCCTGTGTCCTCACCACCTCTCTCTACCTCTATCTCTCCCACGCCTGCTTCTCCCTGCATCCACTCCTTCACTCGGGCCGTCGCTGTCACTGAAATATGCGACGGATTGCAGATACACAGCGTGCCTTGCAGGCGGTGGAGCGTCTCCAGGCCAAACTGAAGGAGCGGGGGGAGGTGCCCACTGAGGAGAAGCTCAGCCTGCTCAAATCAGTGCTCCAGAGCCCCCTCTTCCACCAGATCCTGGCCTTGCAGAAGTCCGTCCAGCAAATCAGAGACCAGGTAAACGCCACATTATCTGACTTTATCCAGGTTTTGTCATCGTAGCCTGTAGGCCCACGCATTCATGATAATACAATAAACAATACTATTTCACCTATTAAGAGTTGTTCAGTTTTAATTGACATGTAAACAATGCAGTACTCATTACTGAGCCTGTGAGACTGTGGACATGTTAAATTAGAATGGCAGTGCTGAATTCACCTAAGTGGTGCTGGGTTCCCAGGGTGCTATGGTCCCATGAAAGGTCATTAAGAGGTTACAAGGTTATGGCCATTTAGAGTTCTGCCTGCATTAAAAGTATATGAGTATAAACTGCCAAAATGCCAGATGGCAGCATCACTTTGTGTTAGCACATAACTAATATAAAGAGAAGTCGTCCTGTTTGATGAGAAATAAGAGCTAGTTTATCTGTTTTTATTATCATCATGTTGGATGAGGTGGGACTCAGGCAGAGGTAATATAAAGTGACAGTCACAGTTGTTGTGTTTGTGTAGAGAAGTGCTTACACCCTGCAGACTATGTAGACACCAAACACCAACACCCATGGCTTAGCTCTGGTGACATTTTGATGTTTAGATATGAACCTACCCAGACCTAGAAGGCAAGATAAAATCACAATACTGTGTATGTGTCAGTTACAATGGATTCTGATATTAAAGGATAGGTTTGCAGTTTTTCAGGTTTATCTTTAAACAATATTAGCTTGCCCATATGTACACTGAAAGAGTTACTGGTCGCTGTTGGTAGTGGCCACAAAGAGTTCCCATCCTTGAGAGGGTACTTTGCTGATTTACAATGTGGGTTGTATGTGTAAATGAACTGTGGTAAACTTCCCTCTGTTGAACCAGTGCCTAGATCTCCCTGTTCCCCTCCCAGCAAAGCTCCATCGAGTGACGCAAAACATGCCATTCAGAGGAGTTTCGCCGGCTCTCGGGCTGTTGCTCAAACTATAGGATATACTTCCACATTTTCACCTGCCACACATGCCGCCACCATGGACACAAAGAGCATAGCAGTGGATCGAGACACCACCACCCAAAACTTAGACGAATCTCTGAACAAATGTTAAAACTAAGCAGTGCTGATCGAATATAAACCAAAATTATGTTACCGTGTTACCTATTTCTCACCTTAAATCTTCTTTAGAAACATATTTTAGTGCACAGGAAGCGGGCACCATACTGTTTCCTGCAAAAATTGACATCAAATTTTTCTTGCGTCATATGTTTTCAGAAACATGTTTTAGCTTACTTTTTAACTGTAATACAAGATCGTTTGTTACCAGCTGGCCAACACTGTGTTAAACGGACAAGTTTACTTTACGTCACCTACCAGCAGGAGTGTTTATTGGTCTGCTACAGCGCTGCGCATTCTGGTAGGTGTAGGTTTTCTACCTCTTGGGCAAAAACAAAAGCCACTGCCCTTTTTCTCTGTTTTCTCTACCCATTTACCAACAATTTCAAAAGTGTTTGCGTCTTTCTACTGCATAGACAGCCCAGTTTTATAAAAAAGTAGGGGTGTCAATTGATTAAAATATTCAATTGCGATTAATAGCATAATTGTCCATAGTTAACTCCCAATTAATCCCACATTTTTTATCTGTTCGAAATGTACCTTGAAGGGATATTTTTCAGGTTTTTAATACTATTATCAACATGGAAGTGGACAAAAATGCTTGATTTATGCAAATGTATGTTTATTATTAATGCAATAATCCAAAATGATGACAAATGCTGTCCAAAATATTCTCCACAGTAACCTCAAAGGTACTGTATGCTCAAAAAATATGCTGAACGCACACCATGGCAAATTCAAGCCCAACAAGCAACAACAGATAGACATATTAACCTGAATGTAACATTACTTAGCAATACTAACACAATGTAGTGTCCAATGTTACACTTGTAAAGGTTAACTAAGCATCCCCTGTTTTTAAGTAGCTCGACGTATTCCAGTGGTAACTCAATTCACATTGTCAGTAAATGAGAATAACTTTGGTATTGTTAAAAGAACCATCAGGCAGGGCTTTGAAGTTGAATTGCCACCAAGAGACACCTTTCTTTATCCATATCTGCTCACAGAGCTTTGTTCCTTCTTGCCATCCACAACGTCACTGCTGCATCGTTTTCTGATTTCCCAAACTATGGGGTGAGCCGAGGGTCATAATTACAGAGGGCACAGGCATTAATTGCGCATCAGAAGAATTAGTGGCATTAAAAGGAATTTGCGTTAACTTGTTATTAACACTTTAACTTAAACAGCTCTAGTAAAAAGAGAATCCCTCCTGCAGTGAAATACTTCTTCAAGTGGTTCCAATGTAGGTGATGGGCGACAAATAACAATATAGGAAATACAAGACTTCAGCAGTCTGAATTAGCCAAATTAAGTGGTGGTATTCCCATGTTAGTTGTTTCACAGACTGTGTTTCCTTGCTGACCTATGAAGGAATATCAACACAAAGAGGGAATTTTGTGACCTTTCGTGACTTAATCAAACTAACACAGGCTGTTAAAGCCTCATATTAGCTTTGGCTGATCTTTACAATGCATTTTTGCACACGACTGTGGAATCACATTAAGAAGGGCAAGCAAAACAACTGCAGCATGTTATAATGCTTTTGATGTACATATGGGCTTGTAAGTATTGTTTTAAGACTGATTTGAAGTCACATGTCAGTGGTTACATAATAACTGCCCCATTGATCAGAGGGAGGTACAACTGAAAGTGCTGCATTACCTGTATCACAGCAAGGCTACAATATTTCCCATACCCATATTCTCCACAATTGCTACTGCCTTTATCTTCTCTGTTTCCTGGGTGACCTCACTGATTCTGTTTTTGGCTCGCTCACACCCCCACCAATTTTAAATCCCCATCCCCAATAGTGTTGCTGCTATGGCCAAATTGCTGTCAGGGTTCACATGAGCCAGATATAATATGGGTACACGAGCAGAGATAGTTGGTCTAAGTCAGGAACTCTTTTTCAAGCTGATTCTCTCCATTGAGAATAGAACATTTGAGTGGAAGGAAAGAGCTCTTAAGTCACAGTGGAAAGGGGCCAGGGTAAGCGTTTGAGAAATAGAGACGAAAATATGTGAGCTATGCGGTGGGAGGCAGGGATGCTAGAGCTTTTTACCCCTTGTGGAATTTAGATTATAAAAGCCCTGCTGGCATTTTTGTGTGCTGGCGATTTAGCTTATTTCAAAAGAGGTACATTCCTACTGTGTGTGTGTGTGTGTGTGTGTGTGTGTGTGTGTGTGTGTGCTGATGTGTTTGTTTGTTTTACTAAGCAAAATTTATCAAGCAGCCATTCATCATAAATTCCCCTCAGATCTTGAAATGGACCCATTCCACATTGTAAAAATGGTAAAGAGATGTGTTTGAGAAACTGCAACAAGTCAGTGTTAGGTTTTTATAGAGCTCCCAAACCCAACTGCACTTGTTTGGCCCCTCTTTAAGCAGAACCAATTTGGAGAGAGGGTGCGTTTTCTGTTTTGTTTTGAGACAAGAGCCAGACACATAAACACACACTGTCCGTCTTCTGGCTCTGCTAGTTAGGCCATGCACAGCCCATGTCGCTATGGCGACAAGGCCCCACTCTCCAATGGGAAAGAGGTCGCTGTGTGAAGTGGGGCAGAAACAATTTCTTAAATGTGCAAGAACCAAACTGGAACTTTAATCCTCTTAGCCAGGCCCCAGCTAACAAAGCTCATGCATGAGGACAGCAACTTAGCAGCATGCTACGCTAAGTTAGCCCGGCCCATAGGGTTTTTGTTTGCAGTGTGCAGCACTAATGTGTCCTGTCCAATGGAGTTTTGTTTCTCAGGACTAATCTGGGACTGTATTTGAACGAGCCATAATTTACAGTACATGTTTCCAAAGCTGAAAGTTGTGCAGTTAACTTCTCAAAATGCAAATGCACAAGTTCACAAGGACAGCTTTAGCTTGGCAATGCCATATGCCAAATGGAGTGTTTATGAAATTATTGCTGTGTATTATGTCCGTCCTTTTGAATCCATTTCAGTGGTCATAAACATTATGCCCTTTGGCTAATGAAATTGGAAAAACACTGTTTTATGTAGTTGTCTCGTTCATGTAATTCATCTGTCACACAAGTAAAGTCATTGCTGTAATTAAAACCCAAGCATATTAAGGCATCCAGATGGCCAGTGATGCTTTTCCCCCACCGTGATAGAAATATTGTATTTGGAGCCTAGTCATTGCTGGAACATCAGCTAAGAGCCATTATACCCTGAAGGATTAGGCTGCCATAGATCCAGCTAATCATGGTAGGATAACAAACTGTCTGGCATCCCAGTGGTTTCAGACACTCAGACTTCAGGGTTTTGGTGTCTAAAATTAAACTTGCTAAATGTTTACCTCCACAGTAGGAATGAGTCATGATGTTTTGTTTTTTTCTTTGAACTTTTAATTATCTTTGATTGGATTATCGCCAGCAATTGCTGCTCTCTGCAGGAACATTTTGCAGAAACACAAAGCTGTTATGTAGCTGCAGACTGGAAACCTAACACACAGCATAACATTTATGTTTAGGTGAAAATACAAATCAGAATAATCTGTCAGTGCAACATCTGTTGTTTTCAGCGTAACTCACTGCATGTTTATGTCTTTATTTTTCCAGGGGAGTGTCCCAGTGTCACGTGCGAGTGACCTTGACGATCACGTGGCAGCAGTCAAGCCCAATGGCGGTCATGTTTCCTACGCAGAAATATCAGCTTCTACACTTATCAATGGCAAGACATCATCTGAAGAATTCGAACACGTGATTCACTCCATGGCGCAGGTATAGACAACTGAAAAGCCATTTAATTGGCCTATATGTTTTAATACACACACAAAAATCAACACCTCATCTATAAACAGCTAGATTACCTTGAATAGGTCTTTCTTAACTCACATCAAATATTCAAAGATAGTCAAAGACAAGATCTACAGGCTGCACGCTGTGTTCTTTACTCTTGAGGCACTTCAAATAGACTTCTAAAGGCTGCCTGCAGCTTTGATGCTATGCTGAATCAGTATGGGGCCAAATTGTATACACTGCATATGCGTGTGTGTATGACCCAGGGGCGATTCGTGACGCACGTGGACCTGCTGAAGCCAGCGTCAGGAGGCCTGGGGTTCAGCGTGGTGGGCCTGAAGAGCGAGAACCGCGGAGAGCTCGGCATCTTCATACAGGAAATTCAACCGGGAAGTGTGGCTGACTGGTATGTGAGAATCAACATGCCATCATTCAAAGACTGATTTGAATCTTAGCACATAAAGTCAACATTCCAGAAAAGTTTTACAATATTTGGATGATGAAATAAAACTGAAATAGAATTAAGGAATTAGAGAAGTCCATTTCCATCTTACAAATTGGCCATTTTACCAGAAAGGAAAGTTTTTACAACTTGTTTGAAGTCAATATTTTTGCACAGACTGTGGCTTTCTGATGTTTTCTGAAAATTAAAACTACTTTTCAAGCCTTCAGAACATCTCAGAGCTTGCTTGCCATAATGTTACTCAAACAGGAACATAACTAAATGTGTAGTTATTACCTGCACATTTCTGTCTGAGAGAAATTTGACAAAAACTGGAAAAACTGTAAGAACAAATGAAAAAAGTTACACTGTCAGCGAGTAGACCGTGAAATATTCTTTTACTCTCTGTGAAAATGAGGAAACAGATGAGAGTAATTACCTGATCAGAGGCAGAATTAGTGAACATCTCAGAGGCTTTGACACCATTTATCGCATTATGTCCTGCTCTTTCACCATGACACTGCATACTCCTCTCCCCTACAGCGACGGGAAGCTCAGAGAAGCTGACCAGATCTTAGCCATCAATGGCCAGCCCCTGGACAACACAGTGACCCACCAGCAGGCTATAGCCATCCTGCAGAGTGCTGCGGAGAGGGTGCAGCTCACGGTGGCAAGAGGTCCGATACCTCAGCTGGCCAGTCCGGCGGTGTCCCGCACGCCCTCTGCTGCCAGTACACTGTCAGCCAACTCCAGCGCGGTACAGATACATATTCACACTAATGTCACGAGTGAAACTTGCAATTTTATGCCCACTTGTTTAGTTTGAGAAGAAATGTGCAAACAGATCTTTGCAAGAAATATGGAATAGAGAACAAGATCCGCATGAAGAGACTACCTACACACATGCTTGCTTTGAGTGTAGCACACATGGAACATAATCACACAGATACACAGAGACACAACTGAGCAGAGAAGTAGCTCCTGCAATCCAACAAGACACACAGCGAACACAAATACTTGCTTCGTATCAGAAAAAATGCAGCTTTGCTAAAACTACTGATTAAAAGTTATTCTATTTTTACACTGGACAAGACAACACCATATCTCAGGAAAAAAACGCCACCTGCATTTTTCAGCCAAAGCCTGATCTGACATTTTTGGTTCGATAAATAAATCTCTTTCTACAGTACATTCATTATCTTTACTGTTTCCTCTCTTTTACTGTACTTAGTGGCAGCACGTGGAGACGATTGAGCTGGTCAACGATGGCACTGGTCTTGGCTTTGGTATTGTGGGAGGAAAGACCACCGGGGTTATTGTCAAAACCATCCTTCCTGGAGGCATAGCTGATCAGGTGATTGCACAAATGCATCGCCACTTTCTTTTGGAATTTGCTTTCAGAGAGTTTCGCATTGTTTATGCAGTGTTAAAGGCAATTTTTTTAATGTCCCAGAGAGACGACTGTTGTCAGTTAGGTATAATAAGAATTGTAAGCAAGCACATAATTAACTGTCACTCTCATCTTTTGTTTGGAACTGAGAGTGTCATTATGGGTTTGATTTCCAGTGAAGCTACATGATCTAAGTCAGAAAAATACTTTTTTTTTTTACCTCAGGATGGACGCCTGCGCAGTGGAGACCACATCCTGAGAATAGGAGACACTGACCTGCACGGCATGGGCAGCGAGCAGGTGGCGCAGGTCCTCAGGCAGTGTGGCAACAGGGTGAAGCTGGTGGTTACTCGGGGTCCCGTGGACGAGAATCCCTCCCTCTCTGCCGTCATGCCTGTGGTGCTCCCCACTGTCAACGAGCAGGTTAGAAGGGCTGTTTGACTCTGAACCAAGAATATGGCAGGCATTTGATACAAACTCTTACAATATGGAAATGTGACACACTCAAATGGTTTCATTATTCGGAGGATCACTGTAGTACAGCATGTTCTCTGTAACAAATGATCAAACAGATGATTGATCACCATATCCGACACACACAGAGGTATACGCTGAAAACAAGAACACTAAGGACTTAAAGTTCAGGTCTTTCATCTCCACTTGTATCCTTTTTGTACTCTTGACAGCTCTGAATAAATGGATTTTAAGAAAATAACATGTTACATTAACTGTGACTCACGCGTTGGAGAGCAAACATTGCTTTACTTGCTCGAAAAAACGCACTTAAAAACAGCAATTTCATGGCTATTCTCAACACTCAGCCCCATTTAAACATGAATGAAATTCAGTGACTCACTATACGAATGACATCATATCCTTTTGATAGCACACATTAGTGTTTTTATGGCTACCAGGTTCAAAGCATTCATTGTTAACGTACACAAAAAAAAAGTATTTTGGTGCCCGCATGGTGCAGCTGGATGACATTGTGCCGTGACTTGCTTTTCTTCTGTTGTCAAGTGAATCATCCTTTACTTTTATTTAGTTTATTTGTCATTCCCATTAATCTTTTCACAGGGCTATGAGGAAGAGGAGGATGAGGCATTTGATGTGAGCCTTACCAAAAACACACAGGGGCTGGGGATCACTATTGCAGGCTATGTTGGTGATAAAAATTCAGGTGAGAAATGTCAGACTGCCTTTAAAGAATAGATGACCATTTAAATTTAATTATCATACTGATGTTTTACTACCTCTGTGCTTCAGTAAATACACATTAAAGCTGCGATGACTCATATTTTTCTAGCCTGTAAACAATCGATGAAATGTATAATATGAAAGGGGCTGGTCATAGTGATAGCTCAGGTAGTGTTTTAGCATCTTTCAGCTAATTGTTTTGTTTTCTAGGCCAGTGAGCTCTGCTTTTATCAAGCCGTAGCAGCTCTTTTCAGCAGACGAAGCTCTGATAAAACCACATTACAACACACATTACTTCTTTCCAACACCAAATGGTGGACAGACAAAGATAGCTTGGAGCATTTAGCAGCAAAAGACACAGAGTGCAAACACAGCTAATGCGTTCAGATTGAATCAGGCAGACAGGTGGATGCCAGATTGGATATCGTTTTAGTGGGCGATAGCAGGACAGTAAAATTAGGAGAGGCTAGCAGAGAATATCACTGACGGCAGGTGTAGATGGCACTTGCATTAAACAGACACACACAACTTCAAAAGAATGTCACTGTTGCTCCATGTCTGCTGGATGTGACTGTTTGCTCATATATGAGCTCCAATTAATTTATAGTAGGTAGTGTCAGTGTCAGTGTTTTTAGCTTTTTCCACTGCCCCCAAACTGTCCAAAATAATTTCAACTTTAAAAAATCCTCTCACTTTGATTTCCCTTTAAAATGTAGCAGTTAGCCGCAATATACTGGGACAGACCACAGACAGAGTTTCATTCTAAGCTGCTGTATTCATTGAATGGAATTGAATATTAAATGGCCTTGGCTTGAAACGCTTTATTTTTCAAGGTTAGCATAAGTACGCTGGGTTCATCACATCATTGTTTATGACTTATGTAATATTGAAACAGGCTCACTAATGCTGACTTTTGACATCAAAGTGAAACATCTGTTTGCTCTTCTCCTTGGGTCTTATTTAAGGTCATGATTCATGGCTATGTTCCTCATCTCTTTAATTTTTTTGTACCTGTTCTGACTCCTCAGAGCCCTCTGGCATTTTTGTTAAGAGCATAACAAAAGACAGTGCCGTAGATCAAGATGGCCGTATTCATGTCGGAGACCAGATAATAGCTGTAAGTACCCCAATTATGCTCTTTGTAGCTATTACTATTTCCTCTGTCTTCAGTGGCATGAGGTAAAATATGCAGTGAATGTTTAATATAATCTATTATAGTGATCACATTTAGTCAATGGAGGGTAATTATGAGATGCATAATGAATAATTCACAATTAACTGATAGTTCATAAAGTGTTTTGAGCCTTGAATTGGCACACAGAGCAATTAAGATTTTTTTTGCATTACTGTAGGACATTAACAATGGAGTTAAACTGTGTGTAATTTCTTGGATCATTTCAAACATGAGTTAATGTTGCCCTGTGATTTCCAAAGTTCTCACAAACTCATGTTTTGTTCTGGTGTGTATGTGCTTGATTAAGTTTTGTTCCTAAGCGTAAATGATAATGTGCTTTGGGACCCTACTTAGGAACTTAATAAACACTTAATTGACTGTGAATTCTTTAACTTATGCAGTATTTACCTGACTTAAATGATGGAAATAATTAAAGCCAATAGCTAAAATAGATGGGAATACCCATGTGCAGCAATCTGTTTCTATGCCTGCTGGTGTTTATGATCACTTTGATTAATGTTGTTTCAATTTCACCTCTATCAACAAGAATATAGATGGCAAGTCAGCACACTCACAGTGTCAGCACAAGCTGTTCTGGCCCTTGTTTAATCCATGGGCTCACAAATGATCGCCCTCTGCAGGTCGATGGCGTAAACATCCAGGGATACACCAATCAGCAGGCAGTGGAGGTGCTCAGACACACGGGCCAGACAGTCCACCTTAAGCTGATCCGGCGGGGCTTCAGGCCTGACGAGATCCCCCCCGCCGTGGCCCCCAGTGTCACCATCCTGCCCCCCTCCACCACCATTCCCACCACAACCATGGTCATGATGGAGCTGGAGCTGGAGAGGAAGAAGGCTGAGGAGGCTGCTCAAGGTAGGAGGGATGAAGTGCGAGAAATTTAATGAGGACAGACGAAAACACATTCCTTGTTACTCATCGCCCTGTCAAAAAAAGTTGTCATTTGATGTGTAAATGCAGCTCAGACAGGATGATGCAGTAACGAGTGACTCCAAATGGAAATTTCAGTCATTTTTATCAATATAGCTAAAATCCAGAAACAGAGATGTCTCTATGAAAAACACTGATTTCACTTTTACTCAAATGCAGTCCAAATTGATGTCAACATTTTGATTCATTAATGAGAAAGGTGGCCCGCTACTGAATATGCAGCAGGTGTCGTTATCACATCAGAGAGGATTTATTTGTTAATATTTTGTGAAAACATTTTTCACCGTCCTTAATACCAAAAAATGAATCACTTTTTGTCTGTTAGAGGGCTCCTCCTAATAACAGCAATAGAATGAGTACGCCCACGTTACTGGCCATCTTTTCCTAATAAGAGAGGGAAATGCACTCATTATTAATAATAACTGACAGAGGCCAGGAGGACTAAACTATTTCTTCTAACATTAAAAAAAGGGAAAAGTCACTTTGTGAAACAATTTCTGTCAAGTCCTGCCACCCTCATTCGTTATTATATTGCACTGGCTGGTCTGACTCAACAGCAAAGAAAGAACCCAGAGCTTTCCATCATGTTTAGACCCTGAAATATATCCAGTAATAAATCAACATATGATGCTCAACACTTGACAGGCATCCACATAACTTAAGACATTGAGAGCTGAGTTATAACTGAGGTCTGCATATGTGTGCCGGTACCCACTAAATAATGTTTTTTTTTTTTTGTTTGTTTGTCTTTTAAACAACTTCTTGCATTTTGAAATGTTAACATCTTATGAAACAGACAGAGAGTAAACAGAAAGGTCCTCGTCCCCCGCTGTGTTGACAGGACCTCCAGGCTAGCACAGAAGCAAGAAAAGCAACTTGCATAAGTTGTCAATAGTGATAGATGGAGCTTGAAAGTGATTCGATCTGGCAACACAAAGTTCTAGCCCAAAAACCTGCAGAAAATCTAGCAGCTATCAGTTGACAGACAAAGGAGGCCAGGATTTTCTTGGCGGATGTGAACAGTCAGTACAAAAAAAAAAAAAAATCAATTACAGAGGTTTGAGCTTTTGAGTATTATAGATGATAAAGAGGACTAAATTAGTGCATCTCTGTATTATATGTGTTTGTATCCCTAGAACTCTCTTATTAAAAACACAAAATAGTTTGGTAAGTAAGAATATATTTAAGCTAACCTACAGGGCATGAGATCATGGGCTTGATGTACAAGGTTGTAATAGGTTGTTAAATTGTTGGGATTAATGAAAGAAATTTAACTACTCACTTAAATTGTTGTCAAGACAGTCTGAAGGTTCTTGAGCTCCTTTTCTCATACCAAACTGGCTAGTATTAGTTTTATGTTAGCACTTAAAAGGTGCTGATGTACAGTGTAGACTATGTCTTGCTCGGGCGCATGGGTAGTAATTTCATGGGCGACCACTTCGGTGTCCTGTGGAACTCCAAAGACATAAACAGTAGCATTAAGTTGTAAAAAAAAAAAAAAAAAAAAAAGCACTAGGGTCATTAAACAGATATTTGAAGTCCTGGAATGTTTAGAGTCTGTCATTATAGATAGATAACATCAGCAAGAGCATGTTCTTTATATCTTTTTTCGGACCAATAAGGACGTGAGATAGGAAATGCTCAAACTATTTCAGAAGAATGAAGTAGTAGAGTATCAAGTAAAAAGAAACTATTTCAAGTAATTTCTGCATTGTTGTGTATTTGTGTGTGTGTGTGTGTGTGTGTGTGTGTGTGTGTGTGTGTGTGTGCTCTTTGTGGAAAGTAGATGACTTTTTTTCCAGTGGCTGTGTACCTGTACTGTCATGCGTCTGTGCCGCTGCCTGCTTCTGTCTGTCTCACTCTTCATTGTGTGTTTACAGTCACCGCAGATGAAAAGGCGCTGCAGACAAAGAGTGAAGGATCTGATGTCAGCCCAGCCACGGATCAGCTAACAGAAGACAAACATGGTAGGAGGCCGGGATTCTTCTTTAAGTACACCAGCAGAGATACTGGGCACACATCTGACAGATAAGGGTCATTGTTGTCAGGAAGACACTGACGAGCAAAACACACAGAGAGGAAATACTGAGACGGATGTTGTTGGTAGTTTCACAGACAGTGCTGAAGTTTTTAAATATTTTAGTATGCGCTGATAAAAATTGTATTTTTTTTATTTTTATTTTTTGCGGGTCTGATCTCAAAGACATGATAAATACTCTGCAAATAGTTAGGAATGTATGCTGCCTTGCTGGCTGTGAATAGTTTATCACAAATTTGCCTTTTATGTTGTTTTGTATATTAATACAAGAATTTTGTATTGTGTTTTCCAAGGGATGAAGCTAACAGCCTTTGAAGAGGAGGAACTAATGAAGAAGTGGCAAGAGATTCTGGGTCCAACTAATGAAGTTGTTGTAAGTTTCTTTTTCAAAGTGAATTCCTTTCTCTCATGCATGGAATTATACTCACCAGTACTTGGTTCCTGGGCAATTACTTCCTAATGGTTAACAGCTCCAAACTGGTATCTTAAAGGGAAAAATGACCTTAGTCATTACAGAAATGATTGAGCCATTAATACACTTAAAGTGAAATAATAATCCCTTATCACAGCAAAATGTTTCACCTGCTAACTGAGATGTGATGTTTGTGTTTTTACCCCAGGTAGCTCAGGTGGAGAAGTTCAGTGAGAGCAGTGGCCTGGGTATCAGTCTGGAAGCCAACAGTGGGCATCATTACATCCGCTCTGTTCTACCTGAGGGACCTGTCGGTCGCTGTGGAAAGCTGTTCAGTGGAGATGAACTGCTTGAGGTGCGTGGTTCCTTAAATGAAAGAGAGCTTTTATCAACAACAGTATAAACCTTTATATGTGGCATTTGCCATTTTTGCTGTTAATACTTTGAAAGGTTCAAAATCTACATTTAGTTTGTGTTACTACATATACACATACCAGAGCTAAATGACTTAAAGAGATAGGTCAGATTTTCTTGAAGTGGGGTTGTATGAGGTACTCCATAGTCAGTGTATTATTTAAAGTAGATGAGGGTCAGCGCAGACATGAGCTCCGCCACAGAAGCTAAGCAATGTACCGCTCTGGACTTGGGGTGCAGCAGCATGTATTTTAGCCACCCAAAAAAAGTTCCACATAAAAAATTTGTATCAGTTATGTGCTATATTTAGTATATTTTCATCGCTTTAACTTGCTGTCAGAGCCCTTTCAGACAGGGAACTAAAGCTGTTATGTCACTCTCCTTAAGCCACCAGACTGCATTGACAAACACAGTAATTTTATCTGGTTGAACACGGGAGCTGTTTAGGTGCCAGTGCCTTGATCGGTAGTTTGTTTGTGTAATTGTGTGACTTTGGTGAATCAAACTAACCTTTTGAAACAACAAAGTCACACAATAACACAAACAAATGAACCGACCAAAGCAGCTGTAGACAAGCAACTCCCGTGTTCTACGAGGTAAAATTACTGTTTTTGTCAATGGAGTCTGGCTTTGAGGAGAGCACAGATAAAGTTCCCTGTCAGAAACGGTCATCTACTGTGAGTAATGCATTGACTATGTATAAGTACCTCATACAGCCGCACTTCAAAAAATTTGTCCCCTTAAATATATCAGGTGGCCAGAGAGGTGACTTCATATAAATGCTAATGTTGCTCTGTGTCTGCTGGATTTGCAAGTATGCAACTGTTGGCTAACACATTTGTAAAACTTTGTCCGTTGCCCTTGAGTGTCTCAAAAATCAATTAAAGCTGCTTTAAACTTTAGCTATTGTTCTACTAACCTTTCCTTTCTTAGGTCAATGGTATATCCCTGATTGGTGAAACCCACAAGGAAGTAGTCAGAATCTTGAAGGAGCTTCCACTTTGCGTATACATGACATGCTGTAGGCCGGCCCCTCACCTGCAGACTGACATGGATGCTGTCCAGCCAGAATCTGAGACTTTGTCTACAGTGTCTAAATTAAAGGTACTGCATTTGCACTGCTGAGCTTTGGCAATTCTACTCATATGTGTTGTCTCTGAAATGCAAATTTTTCAACTGTGATGACTCATCATGACACAGATTTCGTCAAGCATTATGTTTAAGAGAAAAAACCTTTAGAAAGTGACTGAAGCTTTGCCCTCTCAAGGCTAAAAACACGCAGGCTATTGCAGCAGATGATGCATATAAGTAGAGTGGGACACTCCCTACATCACCTCGACACGCAGTAATGTATCATGAAAAATGTTTCCCCCGCCTCTGCATATAAACAAGGGAATATGATTGGAGAGCATTGCTCCTAAAGTCCTCCCCCTCCTTTATAACCCATCAAGCGTTATTAGCTCAGCCCGAGCTGTCAGTCGCTCCATTGGCTTTCCACATTGTCAGCCATGATGGATTAAGACTTAGCAGTGAGCAGGGGAGGCTGAAAGTTTATTAAGACCAATTCTAGTAATACCTCAGCAGCAGCAGCAGTAGCCAGCAACATTTGCTCGAGATATGAGACATCAAAAGCGGCTTCCCTTTGGGGAAGGGGGTTTTCATCTCACCAGCTTTATCTGTGATAATGTACTAAGGCCCGAGCATCCCAAAGATATTCCCCTTTTATCTACTGCCAGAAACCTGAGCCAGGAACACAACCAGAGGGTAGCAGCCTTTGGGTTGGGAGTAAAAGTGAGGAAGGCATGCTGCCTCATAGAGATTTTGGGCTTTTCCTCTGCAGAAACAAATAGACCTGAGCAGCGTGTTGGTTGCTGAAGACTCAGAGGTGAACACAGCGGCAGCGACACAGGATAATGTGACAGAGGAGGCGATAGGATCTCCTTTGGCCATGTGGGAGCTGGAGATCCAGAATATCGAGCTCGAAAAGGGAGAAGGGGGATTGGGATTCAGCATACTGGACTACCAGGTGGGAAATCTTCATGGGGTTAGTTTTTTATTGTGATTTTCATTATTTTACACCCATGTGTTTGTATTTCTATAGATGTTATATTGTATCTATAACAACCTAATGGAGCAGTAAGATGCCTCCCAGGTAAAACAATAGTTTCTGATATGTTGGAGTATTGTTTTCTATCCATATTTAATTGCCTCCACAGAAAAAGGACATTCTAGAAGTATAATGCTAACTAAATTAAGTTAAGTTTAAGGCTGTCATAGCTCACCTGGTGACCTCTTCTCACTGACTGACTCCGCCACAGGACCCACTGGACCCGGCCAAGACCGTGATCGTGATTCGATCTCTGGTTCCCAACGGTGTGGCCGAGCAGGATGGCAGACTGTTGCCAGGAGACCGGCTCATGTATGTTAACGCCACCAACCTGGAGAACGCCAGCCTGGAGGATGCCGTCCAGGCCCTGAAGGGAGCCAACCTCGGAAAGGTCCAGATAGGAGTTGCCAAACCACTGCCTGTAAGGATTAAAATAAGTATTCTTTCTCTTTTCTTTGATTTAAACCTGTCTGCACATTGAGGGGAGAATATGTTGTGTGGAAAAAAAGAAAAGAGTTTTGTACATGTTTTTGTGATATTTTCAAATGTAAAATGTGTTCAGCATGTTGGGGATTTATCACTGCAGGTTGTGAGTCAGGTCGTCTTTATATCGTGTGACTTAATATCCAGTCGAGGGCTCAGCTTACGAGGGCTTGAATTTTTCATGCAGGAAAAAGAGTGGAGGTTGGCTTGCACGGTTTAGCATTCCACCCACTGTTCATTCAGAGGAGGCAACCGGTCTAAAACGCTCTGTGCCCTTTGTTTCATATATTATGTTATTGAACTTTCCAAGATCACAGACCCTCTTGTACATTTAAACACATCGGGGCACCTGTCAAAATATTGGGTCCGTCCAACGGCCTGCTCATCGCTCCAGGCACCTGTACTCTTTGTACGGGATGTTTCTCTCTGCAAAACTGCTCGCATTCCTTCAGCTTTAGAGCTACATTTCTCTTGTATTGAATCTGCCGCTGGATTACACAGTGAGACCCGTGGGCTGCCACGGTTAGCTGGATTACAGAGCTGTAGGAAGCCTCTGTGGAGTTACCCAACTCTCCTGCAGGACGTGGAATATACTTCTGAGTGGTATTCTGTTGTATTGTCTCTCAAAATTGAGTCTGACAAGTGTAATCCTCCAGTATGCCTTTTTGGCTTTCTGATACCTGTCTAGGCTGCTTGCTACACAAAATCAATATCAAGAGCTAGACTTAAGAATACATATGAAATGTTGAATGTGCAATTTTGAGCAATTTCTCTGCCTGAACACTTGTGTACCAAATCAGTATTTAATGCTATAATCAGTGTATGAAAATAATAACTTCTAACGTGTTTTTTTACTCTCTACGATTTTTTTGTACTTGATTTGGTCACAATAAAAAAAAGTCTAAAATCAAATTACATGAAGCTGGAGACACTGAAAGAATTTCTCCACTTTCCTAGGGAATATGTGGATATTCCCACTCTCCACACCCATATGGTGAGCAGGAGATTACATCATCATCCACCATCCATTCATTTGACTTCAACAATATTTTGGTTGAAGAAGGAGAGGAAGAAGGACTGGCTGAGGGCATCGTTTACCGAGCAGAGCCTGCATTGGTTAGTTAGCGTTTGGGGGAAAAATAAAACTGAAAAATCAATCAGAACATCATGGAAAATGGAAAACAAGTTGTACTAACGTGATATTTGCTTCTGCCTAATCATGCATACAGTTATCTTATGTGAGCATCATTCTGACAAGTAGAACCCACTAAGGGATTAAGGGATACATATATGTTGTTATACCGTAGTTAGATAAGTAGTTCACCAAATTGATCAGCAATAAAGTCCAGTTTTGTGTCCCAGTCGGTTACACTACTTTCATTCACTATCACAGATCGACACCAGCGAAGCAGACCTGTCTGATGAGAAGGTGTTAGATCACACTTACTCTGGGATAGAGGACGACACTTTCCAGGCATCCATGATTGCTCTTCATGGCAGCAGCTGTAGCGCAGATCTGGATTACTTGCACTCATCTACACCCAAGGTAAGCAGCAGTTTGTTTTGTTTTTGTAAAGATCCACAACTGAAATCCAAAGCACAACTTGAAATTATTCCCGTATTTCATTAAATGTTACTGCACCAGCAACTGCCCTTTGTCACAATGAGCTCTACAGCTTGTAGTCATTATTCTTTGTCTTTTGCTATCGAGAGCCAAAATGTCACGAGAAATGTTTTGTCTTTGTTAAGGCAGTAACAACATTACTAAGTTTGTTGGTGTTTTTGTTTGCACTGGGTGCCCCAAGAGCAGCAACTCCCCAAATGGAAATTCAATTATAAGGAAAATAAACAAAGAAGAGCCCTACAAACTGTTTTCCCAAAGGTCACAGCTGACCTTATTTGTAGGGCTTTCCTTAGACATTTATATTATAATAGAGCAGCCGTAAGGGACAGACATGTGGCAGTACAACGTGAGGCATTTTATCGTACTGGGGGATTTCATAAAACAGATTTCAAATGTTTATATGAGGTCAGACAACTCGGTCTTCTTGTGATCATGAACTCCTTTTTCCCTAAAGCTCCAGAGAGAGACAACAAGTCTGTTGATAAATCTCAAATCGACTTCAGTGACAGTAAATGGTGGGCCCACTTTTTTCAGGCTCGCTGACAGTGGGGTGATTTTTTTTTTTTTTTTTTTGGAGGAATATGAATGTTTTTCTTCTGTCTGGCCCATACCTATAAAAGTCAACTGGGTGTTAAAGATCAAATGAGTGAGTCCACAAAGTCAGCCTCCGAGCCACTGTCAATAAAGCAGTGACAGCTCTTTCTCTCATGAGCGTGTTGATAGATTACAGTCGTGCCAGTTGCTTTTCTGGTGTCTGGCTTTGAGGAGAGTCATTCATGTGTTCATGCATTGGTTGCTCTGTTCAAGATCAGAGAAAAATATATTTAAGGCCTTTTTTGAAAGCACTATGGTGTCACCTCTCCCGACGCTAAGGAAGACTGTGCCCTTTTAAAAATGACTTTAACAGACCAAACTGGACTAATAACAATATCATTTCTTTCATTCTTCATTCTTCTTTCATTTACATATACATATAACGATGTCATATACTCTTTAATGGTGTGATTTTACTGTAGACATACCAATATTATACCACTACAGTACAGCAATTCCTTACTTATTCTCCCAAAACACACAAAAATACACTATTCCCTGTGAATGTCTTTTTACTTTCATAATTGCAGTATAGGAAGACTTAAACCTGTAGTCGTCACAGCCCAGTTCGCTCCAAATTTATAGCACTACCTTATTAAAATGAAACCTCCTATTTCTTGTTCTACTCTGCTTCTCATGTCTGCTTTTTGAGCCCCACTTGTATTATGTATTTGCATATTTTAACTTTTTTTTATACTTCTCTCCTGGCTCCCAATGGGGAAAGCTGGCTGAGATTCATCACCACTCAGTCTGGTTCTAATAAAGTCTTAAATGCTGTTACAATAAAACTACATTTTGTGCACAGCGAGCTCAAGATCACCAGTAATTTCTGCTGCTCTCTATTGGCCACTGATGGCTTTTCTATGGCTCATTACAAGGAGGGCAGGATGGCGACCGAGCAAGATGAATTCCCCCTGTTGGGCAATTGTCTACCTATCAGAGTGGAACACTCATTCAGCTGCTCTGCTTTGTTTTACCCCAGCTGACAGCTCGCCTGGACTTGTTGGATGAGCATCCCTGTTTTGCAACACTGTCCGGCCTTGCAGACAACACTCGGGTGTTCCCCCCGGAGGAGTCTGCCTTGTTCACTCCTCCGAGTTTAAGAGGTCACGTCCCGACTTTTAATGCCATACTGAGCAGCTCTGATCAGTTCCTGGCACAGCACTCGGCCACAGAAGAAGCAGTGGAGGGCTTGAACTCATACAGCCCGTTTGCTGAGATAGGGACCAGATCGTCTGTCCCAGATGAACCCGTGGAGTCTCTTCACTATCAGAATGAGCCACCCATGACTTTTGGAGATATTGCAGACATGAAGATTTTGATCAAGGTAACAAAATCTAATTGTAAATCATAGATTTGGAGGATTTTGTAGATAAAAAGAAAAAAGATGAGCAGAGAGTAATTTGTGTGACTAATGAATGAGCATGGGTGCCTTGAATATCACAGATAGGACAAGGTGCATTTTAAAAACTAATAAAAATTCATCCTTGATCTTCTGTTGAAAACAATTTCTTCAGGTAACATATAACCTTTTAGACGTGAAACTCTTTTTAATCATTAGATACACAAAGTTTCAAGCCTATTTGTTTTCATTTCATTTCCATGGCCAATTGGCTGCACCTCCGTTTTCTCTAGAGACCCTGGCTTTGTTTGGAATCTGAGCTAATATTTTCATTAACTTTCATGAATAACTGTGTTGAATTCTCACCCTCAAGGATGAGGAGGCTGGTGTGAATGAATCAGCAGAAGACGGTGACAAGGAAGGACTGACCTCGGGGAGCAATTTTGAAAGGACTATCACAGTTGTCAAGGGCAACTCCAGCCTTGGTTTGTGTTAATTTCTTCACATTCTTTTATTTGTTCTTTTATTTATTTTGTTTTCATTCACAGTAGTGTAGATGAGGTTGCGGGACTAAAAGGCGTATTGGCCTTTTACGTTGGTGGCATTTTTTTAAATTTTTTTTAACGAATGCCAGATTCAAGGCAAAATGATAGAGACAATTTCTGGCTGCTTTCCAGTCTGAAAGGGTAAATTCATTGGTATACAGGGTATTTGCATTTCGAAACCGACCCATGGGGCTGCTACTGGCTCAGAGAATACTAAGTTTTAGCTTCTAAAACAAATAGGTGTTATGAAGGCACTGTTTATAATCCTCATTGCCCCACTGAAAACAGTGCCTTATTTTGCTTTTTAGTACTCTTAGAAGGTTTCTATTTCATGTTCTATTCAAAATTTCTATAATACATTTGGGTTTTGTATTTGTAATCTTTATACCACACAGACTTCAAAACCAAAATCCCCTCCTACATAGAACACAGTGATGTTATTTTTATGATCTTTGCAAAAGAATCCCTGCGTGCTGTGCTATAAAGTTTGAAAGTTTTAGATAGACTGGTCTCCAAATATATTATGCCACTCTGAAGTTACTCCACTGAGAGTGTATTGAAACACAAATTTGTGAATACTGTGACAGTTTCTAGGATAATTTGCTGGGATATGGGAAAGTTTTCCACAACTGTGAATCAGATTTATTTTTAACCTCTTCCACTCCACCCCTCTCTACCATAGACCCATTTGTGTCTTTCATTGGCAGGACAGGCGATCTTTAGGGGGAGATAGCAGGTCAACAGTATATGCCACATGGAGTGGTATACCTCATCTAAAAGCTTTAATTTAAGATGCTTCTCAGGACTGTGTGTTAAGTTTTTCTAATCATAAATATGTAATAATCATTGTGTTTTGGTCAGGCACCTGTTCAAACTTTTAAAGATAAGAGTGCATAAGGGCTTAGAAAATTATGATGGAAGTATATGAGGAACATTCATATGCTCAGTCATGTCCCATAAGTTGATACGACAGATTTTGTGCTGAGTTTAGTCATTAATCAGCACTTTAGAATTGATAAAAATGGTCAACAGTCCGTCCAAAATACTACATCAATACTCCAAGACCTTGACGAACACCATTAAAGAATCCATTCTCTCATTTGCTATCAAAAACTTTTGACGTTTGGAGATTTCTCTAAGAACTGCTAACAAACCCTCTCATTGTCAATATACTTATGAAAGCAATACATCCCCTGAATCCAAGGTCTCTAGTTTGTGGCTGTAAAGTTTCTTGAGGCTCTGATCAACCCAGAGGTCACAATACATCATTTTGTACTGTGATGTCCATCTCTAAAAAATGCTCTCGCCACATAGAAATGGTTGCTATGGGGGCTGACATCATCAAACATGAATAAAATTGAATCCAAAAGAGTCTCAGCTTTCTAGTCATACCCAATTTATGCAGTTCCAAGACTGTTGAGGGACCCCAGTATGCAGAAATCTTCAGATACAATTGGAGAAAATACCACACTCGTACTGCATGCAAAAAATTGTTTTTGTTTTGCCCAAATTTGCTTGAGAGTAGCATAAAATGGGCATGTCTGTAAAGGGAAGACTTGTGGGTACCCATAGAACTCATTGTCATACGGATATCGTAAGGTGAGAGGTCAAGGGACCCCTGTGAAAATGGCCATGGCAGTTTTCCCCTCGTCAAAATTTTGCCTAACTTTGGAGCGTTATTTAGCCCCCTTCCCGATAAGCTAGCATGACATGATTAGTACCAGTGGATTCCTGAGGTTAACTCATCTGCATCCTTGCGGAGTAGAAGGGGTTAAGTGGAAATTATCAGTAAAACTTTAAAATTATACTACATTAAGAGTACCTCTGCATTTGTAATGGAATTAGCCCTCAAATGTTTCTTTGTGGCATTGATGTTTTGAGGATTGTTGAGGGGTTCATTTATTATCGATAGCTCTTAAATGTTACTTTTTGTTATCAATTCTGATCAAAATCCAAGTTTAGTGTGTAACAGTTTCTCATACTCAAAGGGATGACTGTGAGTGCCAAGAAAGATGGTTTGGGAATGCTGATCCGCAGTATAATCCATGGTGGATCCATTAGCCGCGATGGACGTCTGGGTGTTGGCGATCTCATCCTGGCCATCAATGGAGAGCCCACAGCCAACCTGACCAATGCTCAGGCTCGTGCCATGCTTAGAAGACACTCGCTCATTGGGCCAGACCTGGGGTAAGACAATACAATTAGACAGCAGTAACCAAAGTGCACATGTTTACATGTATTGTTAAAAATCTGCAAAGGAAGGAGATGATTTTGCCAGAAATGCAAACAGACAGGTATTGTAAAATTGTTCAATAGAAGTAGCAGATGAAACAGAGTTTTAAAAACAATACCAAAATGATTTCTTTCTAATACAATATAGATAGATTGTGATTTAAATATGCATTCCTCTTAACGTGCTGTTGTTTAACACCCTTGCAAGGATACAGCATTGTTGATTACACTACATACCAGTTTACATTAGCGATTACAAATTAGTCAAGAATCCTATCAAGCATTCTTTGCCTACTGGTCGTGCTTGAGTTTTCAATTCTCTGTACTGCAAAATAAATTCTGTTTGTAGTGGAAAAAGCACCAGGTTGTATGAAGTCTTGTATCAAGGTCTTGTGAAATTGTTCTTTGCTATTGAAAAACTAATGCTGGTGAGATATTCAGTGTTTCTTCAGTTTAACTCTAGAAGCTAGTAGAGCTGCTTTGTATTTCTCCTACACAGGGGTGTACCTCAAGGTCCAACCTCAATCACATCAGGACGGCTTAAATACAAGCCTTACAAATAATACATGTGGATTTATTTAATGCTTGCATCAAGTATTTAGTTTTAAGCATTTAATGTGTGTAATTGATTATGCCCATTACTCTTACTATAAACTGGGTGATGTTGAAGAGGTTTCTTTAAGTTGCAATGTAATTCTAAAAGCAAAATAAATGAATTTCTCTTTCATAGAGTTATGTTATTGACATTATTATTCCTGCCATTACCATTCCACAAGAAAATTAGAGGTGGTGTTGCACAAGTTCTGCTTGCTGAACTAAACTTGGCACTTTGTTAGCTCCGGTGCATAAAAAGCCAAACTCTTCACATTCTAGATCTGCTTGTGCACCTGAGGACGATCTGTGCCCATTTTATGTGTGAGTATGACTAACTTCCGCGCCATCTTTGGTTTCCCTTCCTCTCGTTCTCTCCATCTGCTGTCGGGCTTCACTGCAGTCTGTTTTAAGAGCTTTATCCAGACACAGAATTAGACAGTCGGTTCCATTTAGTGAAGTGTCAAAACACTGACAGCAGAAAGTATAATTGTAAATATCATTCGGATTCGATGATTAACATTTTAATTATGTTGTGACAGTGCACTGTTTATGAACCATAATTTATTTAAATTTGACGTGTGGCCACAAAACTTTAAATAACAAATATAGTCAGGATAAATCTTGATTGACTGCATCACTTACTTAACTTGCCACCTAACTTCTTTTCTTTTATTTCTGTGACTAACATCAGTTATTACCTGGATGTTTTCTCTTGTACCATTTATAACTCTCTTCTTAACTGTTTTTATATTAACCACTGGTATTGAAGCTCTGCCATGTCTCTCACTGCATGCTGTGTCCATGAATTGACTCATCCATTTCATTATTTCAGTCGGATTAATTTTCCTCTCTGTCTGCATGCCGTCGTGTTTAAAAACCAAATCAACCCATCTGTTGGAGATCTGTCAGCTTCACTTAAATGTGTTAATGTGCCCTTCAGAATCAGCTTCAACTCTGAATTGTTTGGAAACGGGACTTTAAGTGGGTGTCAGATTTTGTCAGCTAGCTTTTGGTTCATTTCTTAGCATGAATTAGTAACCTGCTCATGAATTAATGATGGTTACGCCCTTCAAATTTGTCACGTTTATCACACAGTAGGTGATAGAGGACCTGATTTGCTCAGACATTTATGAAGGTAAACATCTGTTTTGAACAGTCAGACGTCAAGGCTTATACAGAATTCATTGCATCTCACCTTGGGCGAGTGATAGGGAGAATGCATTTGAGAAATAGACAGTTGAGTGTTACTCTTTTGCTTACGGGTACATTTGCTGGAGTTTGAGAAAAACAAGTTTCTGAATGTAAATAGGCAGATTTAAAAGAAGCTCTTTTGTGCAGTGAAAAGGGGTTTTAGTGCTTTCGTACCTGTTTGCACTTGAATGCCAGTTCTCTATTTTTGGTTAAATTGCCCTGTGAGTTCACAGTGAACGGGGGCATAATTGCCACTAAGGAGGGAAATGGAGTGTCTAAAAATGGGGGTGGTGGTGGTGCCAAGCTGTTTGCTTTAAGAAATGTTTGACTCACTGTGTGTGTGTGTGTGTGTGTGTGTGTGTGTGTGTGTGTGTGTGTTTGTGTTTGTGCTCGTGTGTTTGTGTGTGTTCAGCATTACATATGTTCCAGCAGAGTATCTGGAGGAGTACAAGGCCAGCCTAGAGCAGGCTAAAGATGATGTCTTCTCTGAAACAGCTCCTGTCACAGTTCCAGATCCAAAGTATGTCCTCAGTAACTTTTGCCATGTAATTACATTTACAAACGGGTAAACTTAAAATGTGCCTTGTAGAGATTCCTTGTAAACAAACCACTTATGTTTACATTTGGCGTTTCTCATCAGAACACATTGTGAGTATTGTGAGGTCCAAGAAACATGTTGAATGAATTTTCCTCCTCAGAATCCACTGCAAAGCCAGTTTTTTGATCATGCTACACTTCTTTGTGTGTTACTGCCACCAACTGCCAATCAGTGGTATAACATGACATAAATACAACAGGGACCTACTCGCAAAGACAACGCTAAATGGTCAAACATTCCACAGGGTACCTTTAAGTCATGCTATATAACAATATCTATAGTTTGTTTTTTTTCCCTAGAGCTTTAATCAACCCCTAATAATCATGAATCATGAGTTTTTTTTCTAATTTTATCAAACCCTTTCCTTCCGCTTTTGTCTATCTAGAGACATTCCTACCCTCCCTGAACGGGAAGATGGAGAGGGAGAGGAAAGTGCCTCGTACAGCAACTGGAACCAACCTCGGAAGTGAGTACACACTGCATCTAAGCTTCTAATTTAATTCTGCGAACATGTCCATGACAGATACGGTTTGGAGACCTTGTATAGCAGAATGATGCCACAAGCTTGAAGCCCTGACACAAAGAAACTTAGGAAAAGTACATTTCTGAGATAAAAAATCTTATTTTCTGCCCAGCGTACAATAAAAGTTACAGCATCAACTCAGTGCCAGAGTCACAGCTTTGAAGTGAAAAATGCTGATATTGGTACCTTCCTCAGAGTGGAGCTCTTCCGAGCGCCAGGCAAGTCCCTGGGTATCAGTATTGTCGGGGGCCGAGGGATGGGCAGCCGGCTGAGCAACGGAGAGGTGATGAGGGGTATTTTTATCAAGCACATCCTGGAGGACAGTCCAGCTGGACAGAACGGGACTCTGAAGCCTGGAGACAGAATCGTAGAGGTGAAAGAACATTTCAGGTCACAGACCCAATAAACTTGAAGTTTTTTTTTGGATGTAGAAGAAAATTTAAATAAATCCGAAGACAACTATTTACTTAACCCTGTGTTATTTTATTCAGATGCATTCATTTGAGAAAACCAAAAAAGCCTGAGGAGAGTTTGAAATTCTTAAAAAAAACATTTGGAGTGGAGATTGTGGGTACCTGACAGCCTGACAGAGTCTTTTCCCTGATATATTCTTTGTTTGTCAGGTGGATGGAGTGGATCTAAGAGATGCTAGTCACGAGGAGGCAGTGGAGGCCATACGCAGGGCAGGCAACCCTGTCTCCTTCTTGGTCCAGAGTATTATCCACAGGCCCCGGGTAAGTCCATATAATAGAATCTGAACAATTGCTAGTAACTACCTCATAATCTAAAGGTCACAATTTCTTTTTCCATTTTCACCTCACGTACAAGTTCATCTGCACAGGCCATTTAGGGCACTTTCAAAAACTAAAATGCACAATATACAACCTCTGTTACAACCTCAGTTTGCTTTTGATAGTTCAAAGAAAGCCATTTTGAAATATTTTATGAGAGCAACAACAAATCCTGTGTGGCATATTAAATATATTAGCAAGTTTTAACCTCTAACTGCTACACTCATTGAAAATCACCTTATCAACAACACCGTTTGTTGTTGAAAGTGCCCTCAGGCTTTTAAAGCATGACTAAGGAGTCTCCTGCTGGGGCTGAAACTGGTTTGACTCCAGTGTCAGATCTCTCATAGTCAATCACCTGCATTGTCATCTATGAGATATTCCCACATGCTTTCCGGTAACTCATTAAGACTTGTAGCAACTCATAATGTATTGTAGCACATGCAGAGGAAGGATGCGAAGAGGGGCAAGATGTTAATGAAAAATCATACTCAACTACGGGAACTCTAAAAAACATCTTAAAGCTGTGTTTTGTTGATAATCTGACAATACAAAACATATCACGTTACGGGGGTTAATATATCGGGATATATTGTGATACTGTAAGCAAGGCGATACATTGCAAACTGTTAGGTTGACATGTAGAACCATATCACATTGTTATCGCAAAAATACCCTGAAATATTGTGATTATTTTAGGGCCATATCACTCACCCCTATATCATGATACAGGGGTAACCATTCAATATATTGCGATATACTGCGATACTGTTAGGAAGGCAATATGTTGCAATTTTTTAAAATCTAATTTAAGGAGCTAGATGACACAAATCTTTGCATGTAAATAATCAAGCAGAAAATTAAGAGTATTTTTGAGAATCGATGTAGTACAATAAAACACAATATTGTGATACTCAAGTGTATCAATATTTTCTTCTAGGGCTGCGCAATATATATTTTAGACCTAATACCTCAATATTGATACAAGTTTGTAGTTATGTCTGGTAAGTTATGAAACCTCCTATCACAATATCGATATAATAGCTATATATATTGCCCAACCCTTTTTTCTTTCACCCCTAGCTAGAATCAATCTTTTTTTTTAACAACAACAGAGGGTGTACTTCTCATAAAATAGTTTTCAGCCATAACATGCAGCTGGTTTTGGTGAAAAAACTTAAAACCCAATTTATGCTAAATGCCTAGCAAATAAACAGCAGACAACGTCAGCAACAACAGTAACGTTGGTATGTAGCAGCTATAAGCTTAACTTAGCAGCCAGATATTTCCCTCAGGTGTTGTTGAAGACCAATAACGGAGATAAAAGGAGAGTAACACCAGGGAATGAATGCTAATGTTGCTATGTGTCTGCTGGAAATATGTAAAAAAGGAAACTAAAAAGATAATAATATGTCAGTGTTGTGTTTACAGCCTGTTTCGCTGTCACAAAAGGCCAAATCATTAGTCAGGTTTAGAGAACGTTAGCTACACCAGTTGAACATAACGTTAGCTACCGCAGTAGAGTAAAAGCAGTACAAGGGAATAGCATTTTTTACCCTTTAAGCAAAAGTTCAACATTTTTGGAAATATGTTAAGTCACTTTTGTCAGTGTTGTGTTTACAGTCTTTTTTGTTGTCCCAAGTGGCCAAATAATCAGTTAATGTAGGTTTAAAAATTGTTAGCTACACCTGTTGAGCATAACGTTAGCTTAACTACCACAATAGTGTAAAAACAGTAGAACAGTTTAAGTAACGGTTCAACATTTTGAGAAATATGTTAAGTCACTTTTTTGGTTGAAAGTTTAATGTGAGAGATGATTGGTACCCAATCATATCAGTGTGCTAGCTAGATATGAAGCTAACATTTCAGCCTGCAGACAGTTATCTCAAAGGCTAGAAATGGGTAAAAAGCTAACGTTAGCTTATAGTCTGGAGGCATAATTGGCCTATCAGCACCTGTTAAGTTTTTTAATTTACACATTAAGACTGCAGTTTGTCACCATACATACAGTCTATGGTTGTTATTTGTGGACAGAGCCAGGCTAACACCGTTATGCTAAAAATAAACTTAGCATACCCTGGCTGTAGCTTCATACTGTATTTAGCATACAGGCATGAGAGTGGCATCTCATCTAACTATATTTCAAAAAATATTGAAAATTCCTTCAAAGAGGTCAACACCTTATGTTGAGTATTTATTTTCTTTCTACTGTTACTACATTATGAGTTGCCTCAAACCTGCATCTATGTTCCTCCGCACTGCTTTCCCAGCCTGAGTCAATATATAACCCAGGTCCACCGCCTGCCGTAGAGAAACACACCACCTCTTTCACATGCATGCCACACCGCACATGTCAGGTAATCTGTCTCTTGCTTTTTGTCTCTCTCATTTCTGTTGCATCAGCTATCCATCACAGTTAATCTTTGCTGCATTATCTCTCCCTGCCTCCTCTTTCTTTCTGCCCCTCACACTGTTAGCTGAGTCTTTATTTTCACTGCATCTTTGACTTTGATATACAAATAATGTATGTATTGATGGAAAATAAAGACAAACTAGAATTGGAGGTTCCTTCTGGGAGAAAAAGAACTGGGAGTTTATTTTAATATCCAGACATCCTATCCTATTTTCTATCAGAGTAATCTAAATGTAACAATGATATGACCCACAATGATGTTTTTAATCAAAAGGGTTTGCAAATGGTAAAATTAATTTTGTCACCGGCAGTGGAAAGTATTTTAGACACCTCCTGTGCTGAAGGTGTGTATTGCTGTCATTCAGTGCACATGCAGACAAGATTCCTAATGCAATTTCACCATGGGGGTTATTGAAATTTCAGAGCTATATTTTATAAAGTAACTCATCAAGTAAACAATAAAAAAGCAAAAGGGGAAATCATTCGTACCTGTGTGACTAGACGGCTGTCAAAACATGCTCAAGACTGCTTCTACCTATGACGTAGGAAGAAGACATCTTTTCAATAAAGTCTATGTTACTGAGCTGCAGCATCCCTGAAAATTCATAAAAATGGACTGAATAGTTTGAAAAATATTATTTTGATTGGATGATCCTTCTAAGTGCTGCAGGCAGGTCAGTAATGCTGCTTTTAAATGCAGCCACTGGGGTCCACCTAGAGAGTATAATAGCGTATCCATGCTGTCTCCCTTTAAGTTTCAAATCCTTCTCTTGTAAGCAGTGAATAATCTCAAGGTAGCCTGGAGGAATCTTTGAAACATTTTGTTAAAGTATTTCAGAGAAAGAGACTTTGCTCTGATTTTTTTTTTGATGTAGAGGAATGGCTGTCCTCAAGGAAGCCGCTTGCTTTAATGGTTACTCATTTAAATAAAACCTGAGGTGCCTCTGTCCTCCACACACTCCTCTTTTTTTTTCCTCCCGGATGGCCTCCGATTCAATTCTGTCAGAAGGGCTCAGCCATCACATTAAATATTTGTCATGTTGTCAGCTTGTTGGTCCTGTGTGTTGCTTTTAGAGGCCGCCCCTGCCCTTTCCGCAGCTAAATAGCCAGTGTGAGTTGAGTCTTCGCTGCACTAATCAGACCTACTTAGCACCTGCCCTCCCTCAGGTTAGAAAGCTACCCTGTGTCTGTGTCTGCCTGCTTGTGTATGGGTGTGTCCTTCACTTGACCCCTTGACTTTTTGAAATTGTGTCAATAATGAGCTGCATGACATGCGTGAAGAATGAAAGAAAGCATTTGTGTGTCTGTGTGGAGTCTTGGTTTAATTATTCATTATCAGTCTGCATGCAGGTTTACCACATTAGGGCATTTCAGTGTTAAGATAGCCATGTGTTGCACTAAAACAAGGGCTGCGCAATATATCATACTGTCATTACGATTTCAATTTGCGCAATAAACACACTGCAAAAGACTATGACATTGCACTTCAGGGATTTTTTTTGGTTAATTGAAACAACATGCACTTTAAACTGTAGCTGTCATTCTTTTTTTATTTGTGCCTTTTTTTGGTCACTTCACAATTTATTCAGTATATGTCAAGAATGCCTTGAGGGAACCCTTCTTCAAATTTGGCACTCAAAGATGACTTGATTAGAATTTGATGGTCAAAAGTCAAAGGTCAAAGTCACTGTGAACTCAACTGCCTCTTTGTGAGCGCAATATCTCAAGATGGCCATTAGGGGATTCCTTAAATTTGGCATAAATGTCCATTTGGACTCAATGATGAACTGATCGGATTTTGGTGGTCAAAGTTACTGTGATCTTTCATTTGTCTTACTCTTGTGAACACAATATCTTAAGAAGGCCTTGAGGGGATTTCCTCATGTTTGGCACAAACGTCCACTTGAACTCAAAGATGAACTGATTTGAATCTGATGGTCAAAAGTCAAAGGTCAAGGTCACTGTGACCTCAACTGCCTGATTTTTCGTGAAGGCAATATCTCATGATGGCCATGGGGGAATTCCTCAAATTTGGCACAAACATCCATTTGGACTTTAGATTTTGATAGTCAAAGTTACTGTGACCTTGCATCTGTCTAGTGCTCAGAAATAGGATATCTTAAAGGGATAGTGCACCCAAAAATTTAAATTCAGCCATTATGTACTCACCCATATGCCGATGCAGGCTCACAACACCATCGTCACCTCCGTTCAGATGACGTTTTTCCAAACAACTTTTTATGTAGGGGCTTCAGGACACCTGGGTCACTACAGACAAGCAGTATGGAGATATTTTGTGGTTTCAGTTATGTGTCTTTGGACGTTTGAATCTGGGGTGCCGCAAGCCTCCATTAGGTGGCTGAATTTTCATTTTTGGGTTCACTATCCCTTTAAGAGGACCTTGAGGGGATTTCCTCAAACTTGGCACAAACGTCCACTTGGACAATGAAGTGGTTTGAATTTGTTGGTCAAAGGTCAAGGTCACTCTGACCTCACACATTTTTTTTTATTTTTTATTTTTTGCTAATTATGATAAAATTTGATACAAATGTCTAGTAGAATAAAATGATTGAGTTATGACTTTATATCCAAAAGGTCAAAGGTCAACTACACTGTGACATCATAAGTTCTGTAGTAACACTTTTGTGGTCATTCTTCAACATCATATCTCAGGAACAGAAGGGGAGATTTTTGGTCTGACACTGAATTGGTTACATTTATCTTGGGTACAGATGTTACGTGTATAGACATTCCATATTTTAGAATATGTAGCTTCTTTGAAGCAACATCCATATTTGAACTGTTGTCAGCTGTCATGGCTTTATACGAGTCTGGACAGACATGGATCTGAAACTGCAACTTGACTGGTTTGCGAAGGCATACAACTGCAAGGTGGTAATTCTATTATTTCAATTCTACAAGTTATTGGCTATATCTCAGCAGTATACTGAAAGTAGCAGAAGTTAGTAGAAATTAGTACACTTTAAATCTGTTTATTGTAAGTAATACTGTTATTGCAATATGCAACATTATCATGTACTGCATATCTTCCTCATATTGTGCAGCCAAGTTATATAATATATGACCTTTATGTCCCTTTATGGTAAACCTCTGCTGTCAGACATGAAAATTATTATCCTAAACTTTATGTCCTACTTGTGCTTCCATA